TGTAGTAACCACATTGTTTTTTCATGTGAAATCTTCATAAGAGTGTATATCAATAATACCTTAATAAAAAATTTTTTAAAAATTTGATGAGGATGCAATGCTTCAAGTGTCTCTACTGTTTAGAGTAGAATATATTAGTTTCCTCATTGCAAATGAAGTAAATAATGCTCTTCACCACATAGGAGTGTTATGAATCTCAAATGGATTAACATTCATAGAGTGCTTAGAACAATGCTTGGTACAGTTATCCTTCAATAAGTATTGGCTATTATTATTAATATTAATATGCATCAAATATCTACCGAGCTTCTACTACCAGGCACTGTTCCAGGGACTGTAGAGACAGCAGTGACTAGGGGATAAGAAAGGACCCTGCTCTCATGGAGCTTCCAGCCTAGTTGGTAGAGAAAAAGAAAAGTATGTCAAGAGCTCAGTAAACAGAGATAAATAGAGCAGGAAAAGGAAAACAAGAAGCACAGTGCAGAGGGAAGTTGCCATTTTTTATAGGGTGCATGGTCAGGGAAGTCCTCTCTGATAAGGTAACGTGAACAGAGACTTGAAGGAAGTGAGGACATAAGCTTTGCAGCTTATTTGAAGCTTATCTGGGGGAAGAGAATCAAATAAGTACCTACCAAAATAAGTAAGTCTTGGTTTGTATAGGGAGTAACGGGCAAGAAGCCATTCCCACCTAAGTCAGGGCTCAGATGCAGTTAAGTGCTGCTGAGGAAGTATATATCCAGTGTTGTCAGGTCTTGTTGTTGTTGTTTTTTGAAGAAAAACCCTCTCTGAAATTTTTCATGTGAACTATCCTAATGTTTTAAAGTCTGAGTAGGCATAAAAGCACATATATGTTCATCAAAAGACATGTACAAGAATGTTCAGAGGCATTATTTAGTATAGCCCCAAACTGGAAGCACCCACCATTAGAATGGATCAGCTGTGGCCTAGTCATGGTTTCTGCACAGTGCTGAGAAGGAACCAGTTACAACTTTGCACATCATGGGTAATCTCACAACATAACGTTGAGTGAAAAAAAGCCAGTCTGTACAAAGGAGTCCAAAACTGGTAAAATTCAGCTCTGGGGGGTTAGAGAGCTAGACGGTGGTTACCCTGGCTGGGTGAGGTACTGGTAATTTTTATTTTTCCTTGATCTGGAAGCAGATTTCATGGATGTGTTCAGTTTGTTAAGTTTATCAATTTGTTTAGTGATTTGTGCATGTTCTGGTATACACTTATACTTCAATAAAAAGTTAAAACAACAAGAACAAAAATATATATATGGGCCAAAGTTAAGTGTTCAGGCTGAATCAGGGCTGTGGGCTTCCAGTTTACTCTATAACGCATAGATTTCTTTAGACAAAAGGCAGAGAAGTTTTAAAAAACTAACATACTTTGAAATGCAGGTAAAGTCTCTCTCTGTGTGCTCTCCTTAGAGAAGTCCTACAATGCCCAGTGAGGAGGTTGTCTTTCCTCCTCGGTCATTATCCTAATATGTGACCCAACAGTATTGTTCATTCTTGTTCTCAACCTAGAAAAATTAATTCCTGTATTATCATATCACAAGCCATAACTATCAGTTAAGGTATAGTTGGGAACCACAGATGCAAGAAGCCGGAGGCAATTTAGAAGTAGGGTGTGGTTATTTAGGTTGAGAAGGCATCAGGAGTCTTTAGCGTGAGAGGCTCTTAAAACAGAAATTTCAAGTTGTTTAGAGGTACTAAGAATCCTATTGAGTTGAAATAATTTACCCAGGAAACAGGCATATCTTAGCCTGGGCCACAAACCCTGGGAAGAGAATCAATCAGGGGTAAAAGGTAGGATTTAGAATCTCAGGTTCTGGGAAATTAACTAATAGTCACTGCACAAGCACATCCCTAAGGTACTTGAATTCAGGTGACTGACAAAGTTAAGGCAGTTTTAGGGTAATGAAGGCTGCAGTCTATAGATGTATGCTGAGGTTTGGGTCTTGGAGAGTAACAAAAAATGATGAGTTGAAAGTTACTGACATGGCAGAAGGGTTCCCAAAAGCAAGGGCTAGAGAAGTAGGAGCACGGATAAAGAAGTTAGAAGAAACAGAACCTTCTAGAGGAAATCAAAGTGCATAGTTCAGGAGTAAGAAAGATATTCCAAGATTGGGAAGGGAACCTGGAAAGGACTCAATTAGGGATGCCTAAAAGAAATTCTAGGGTAAAGAGTCCAAATCTAGTGAACTGATCCCATGTGATCTCTTGTCCAATGCTCCAGCCTTGGTTGTTGTTATAGCATATTACAAACTGCCCAGCAATTTCCTATAGAGGATGTGTCTTGGGAGAGAGGGGTCTGTGATCAATAGTACTAGGTAAGTGTTCTGAAAGTGCAGGGGCTATAGCCTGATTACTTTCCCAGAGAGGTGTTTCCTCAGGAATATAGCCTGAAGTGAATCACAACCTCATGCCTATTTTCAGAAGTCAGCCTTTTCTTTATCCTTTCCACCTCCATGATAGTACTAAAACCTGGACCAGTCACAACTTAATAAACTAGTAATTCCATATTCCATGCTTGATTTTACTCTTTACAATAAAATGCTACCAATACCAATACTTCCCACCATAGACTTACCTTTAGTGCCTTCATGAAATGGGATACAATTCCACCACTAAAGAGTGCCAGACCACCTGAACTGAATATTCATTTCTAAGATACTCAGATTAACATTGGTCCCTAATGTGGACAGAGGTGTGAAAGAAACTTCACATGAAGTGCTTTTGAATCTTGACTATTCAAGACTGTTGTCTATTTTTTACTTCAGAATAAATGGGAGGGAAAAGTGAAAAGGGGAAAAGAAAAAGGCAGGGGACAAACAGGGACATGACTACAGTGAGACAGTTGTAGTTGACTCTAAGGGTTTTGTGGAAACCACATGGCAGGAAGGTTTGGGGCATTTACCTTCTACCAGCCCAACTCCAGTCCTGCACCGGACTTATCTGATGGAGACCTGGAGAAGCTGACACATGGCTTGCATTGTCCAGTGGGGTGCTATCAGGAGAGACTGCCCATGCTGTTGACTATGCCTAACTGTGGAGGCAGAAGCAGCAAGAGACTAAGGATTTCTTTCCCCTCCGGTATAAATAAGCTCACCTACTTGAGAATACTAAATACTAATACTGCTAAAAAACTAGCCAAAACTGGTGTCTCCTAAATTAGCTTATGTTCACACTTTCTCCAGGAAGTACTCCCAGATTTGCTCACATCTGCCCCCAGCTGGGTTAGGAACTTGATCGTTTATTCTCTCAGCTCCCAGCCAATAGCTCTATCTCTGTACTTACCCCAATAAGATGATGTATTTCAGTATCTCACTAGAGAAAGGCTTAACCTTTTTTGCCTTTGGTACAGTTTGCTGAAAGCTAAGGACCAAGTCTCAGAATAATGCTTTTCAATGCATGACATAACATGCATAGGATTACAAAGGAAACCAGTTGTACTGAACTGTTATTTTTAATTCCAGACCACTTCTGGAATACGAATTCCTTGAGTGCAGGAACTGTGTCTTCATCTCTGTACTGCAAGTGCCTAGCACAAAGCCTGGCACATAGATGGTACTTAATAAATGTTTATTTAATGAATAAACAGAAAGATAGATGGCTACTGCCAAGTCAGCCTGAGGAATGATTCATTGCAACTACTTGTGCACATACCAATGGACTGCATATGTCTTATCCCATCTGAGATCATCTAGACCAGGGCTGTGAGGACATGCCCCCTCAAAAGGTGCAATAGCATCTAGCAATAATGACAGGCTATTGGAAGACCAGGAAAATAAGGTTCATGTATTTCTACCAGCCGCAATATTCAGAGAGTGAATGTAAACAGTCTCTGTCCTTAGATCTCTTGACTTTAGAAGCATGATGCTCATGTTACTTATAAAACAGTATCAACAGCTGACAGAGGAAAGAAAGGAAACTTCCTAGCGTGTAGATGTTCTCAAGGGCTCCTCCTCTATCCTGAATTGGGCCTCTCATCTCTGGGAAAGAGAGTGTCCCTAAAAATCACAATAGGGATGACATGTGCTTTTCTAGGTTCAAGGAGCAGTTGTAGGCTTAGAAGTCTGTTTTTATGTACCAACAGAAAACTTAAACAAGAAATAAAAGCTACTTCCCTCACTAAAGATTACATATAAAGGCCCCATTCGTTGTAATCTGATTTCTACCTCTATTAAATATTTTGAAAAAATAAAACCCTGAACAATTTTAAAGCTGAAAGCCATAACTGTATGGGGTTCAGAAATCTCACCCTTAAGGCCTTTAAGATTGACCCTCCTAAATCAGAGGGCTTCTCTAGCTATGCACACCCATCTGAGGGATAGCAGAACAGTTTTCACTTGTTTGACAACAGGGTTTCCAGTATCTGTTGGAAGAAGCATGGCTTCAAGTGAGTGCCTTCCTTAAAAAAAAAGAAAAAAAAAGGAAACTACAGGTCAAAGTTTTGCTTTTAATGGGGGGGGGGGAAACTCCCACTCCTAAGGTGTGTGCTTTCTTTTTTGACCTTTCCTTTAAATTATCTGTAGTTTCCCTCTATTTTTCCTAGTTCAGTAAACAATGCAATCAAAGAAATGAAAACTAGGGTCGACTCTTGCCCCAAACACTGAAGATGGTCAAAGAGAAGGAATCACAGCACAGAAATGGCCCAGCTCTAAATATACAAACATAAAAGATAGAAAACAAAATAACCCCCCAACCAAAGACATTAATATTGACATTCCCAGAACATTTCCTATAATATAATGTTGCAGACAATGCTTCTTTCCCAGGGAGTCCAGCTCACTCAGGAGGAGACATCCACTCAGTGCCTCATGATAGGCTGGAGGTGTTGAGTCTTCCCTGCCAAGCCTAAAATTTTTTTTTATAAACTCAATATCTCACAGAAATATCTGTGGTATGAATGGTATAAATGAATCTAAAAGGGGAGGAAAGCAGGCAGGCACCTGTCACTGTTCTCCAAATCAGCCAAAAAGCTGAAGAGCATGGGATCCAGGAGACAGATGCCATTAACAGTTGAGGGATGGAGGGCAGAACAAGAGGAAGCACCAAATGAGTGGTTGCTTTTGGTTCCAAAACCAAAATAGGGCCCCACCAAAAAGGGCAGCTGGTCTCGATGAGGAACTCCCCTGCTCCTGGAGTCATGCAATAAAAATGATGGCATTGGAGCCCCACCCCCATGACAGCCATGGTCCAAAACTATAGCAGTTTACACCACATCACAGTCTGCTAATAAATGGACTGATCCTAGTTTAGAAGGGTAAGTTTTTTGACAACACAGGGGGGCAATGTGAGCTTGAATCCCAAAGCACAGCTGTGACACCTCTGGATTTCTACTTTTGCAAAGCCACAGGCCGCTGATGACATTTGCTTTGTGGAGATGTACGCTTCCACTTATCATGGCCTCCCCTCAAAATGGCACCCATGGTGGTAACCCCTCAGAGTGATCAAGAGGCATCATTGTACTTCTGGAAGTGAGATAATTTCCTTGCCCCATCCTAGCCAAAGCACTTCCCTTTTTAAGCAGCTGCTGATATGCTACCTTCCCCTTCAAGTGGAGTTCAACTTCCTTTTGTTGTAGAGTTTTGTACTAGCCTCTAGGGCCCTTTCCAGGATACAAATAAACTATCCTTCTGCAACCACATGTAAGTGGATTGCCTTCCAATGTCAGATCTGTGTTCCATTGTTTGGTCAATGCACCTTTATAAAAATAAAACTGCATGCAAACACAGATAGACTAGCCTGGAAAGGGCTTTCTGGACAGGGTTCCTGGTTATCCTGATGCCTCCCCTAAAAGAAATTAACTTTCTTGGTGTAAGAGTATTAGGAATATTGAGTGACCTACTCTCAACTTCTGGAAAGACAGCTTATTTTTGTCCATTTTTCAATGAGGGGTGGGAGGGACCCAACATTTTCAGTTATAACAATGGGATTTTGTTTAAAACAAAAAGGATCCTATATGGAAATGAGTGGGACAATGATAAAAATAAACAAATAATTAAAATTCCAAGCCAAAACATATCTCCTGGCCCTGAGATCCTATCAATCCTCTAAGACCACAATCTCCACATTGTGGACTTGATGCTGGTGTTCTTCCATCTCAGCCACAACTTTCTCCTCAGTCCTCAGCTCTGTCTCCAAAATGACTGCTTTGCCCTCAGTATCCTCAGCCTCTGGGTCTGGGGCCGGGTCAATCTCAATGATGGTCTGCCCATCCTCCGAGGTGCTTTCAACAGCCTGGATTGCTGAGGTCAGGCCAGACTCCATGGCTACCAACTCCACAGGGCTCACCATGGTGGTCATGTTGCCCAGGGTACTCCCATCCTGCATGGTGGTGGAGCTTAGCAGTGCCAGACTAGACGAAGGGTGGATGGTCACTGTGTCTGGTGAGCTGCTCTTGGCAGAGGAGACCACTGTGGCATAGCGGAAGAGCTGAGGGCCAGAAGGCAGTGTGTGGACAGTCACAGGACTAGAGCCCTGGCTGAGGGTGGCCACTGGAATATTGCCCATAGAAAACGACTGACCCATTGGGGTGATGGTGATGGGTGAGATGACTGTGAACTGAGGCTGTTGGACAGGAGGAGAAGGGCTCAGGATGGTGGTGGAAGCTGGCCGCTGGAGCCGGGGCCTTTTGGGAGGCTTAGGAGTGCTGACAGGCATTAGTACCACATTTTGAACTGTTTGGGATTTCAGCCTGTGATCCTGAGCTTGCTTCTTTTGCTCTTCCAATTGACGTTCCAAGTCTATGAAAAAAAAGAGATTTTGAATGGAAATAAGTATGACCTTGGGAACTGTAAACTGGAAGTCAGGAGACCCGAGGTCTTGTCCTGGTTTTGCTACTTGTAACCTCAGGCAAGCCACTTCATTGTGTTCAAAATTAGAAACTAGACTGGATGATTTTTAAAAAAGCCTCCTGTAATTACATTTCACTGTGCAATTAGAGGCAGGGCAACAATTCAGCATCTTTTTCAGGCTGTGATTCTACTATAGTACAACCTGAGAAGCTCCTGTGGTTGTCACCTGTCACCAGAATATAAATGAAAGAAGCCTCCAGTTGATTGTACAGTTTATATATGCCTGTCTGGGTCTGTAGGTGAAAAGAAATAGTATCTGCCCTTTAGAATTGTCATTGGCCTACAAAGGAGCTACAATGGCCCCTCTGGAAAACAGTGGTTCCCAAATGGCCTTAAGCTGCCATTAGCGAGCAGAAAAGTCTATAGAAAGTGACAGAGCACATCCCTAAAAATTTAGAACCAAAAGAGGTCTTAGAGTTCTCACACATTCATTTTAACAGGGATCAGGAGAGATAAAGTGACTTCTTTAAGGTCTCAGAGCTTAGGCCAAGACAAAAGTCTTCTAATGGTGGTTTTCCCACCACAATACACCTATTACTATCCCTTTCCCAAGTATACAGTTCAGCCTTGGAGACCACTAGTGAGTCTGGTTCTATATTAGAACTTCTCTATTGCTTAGAACTTGATAAGCACCCAATGAATAATCATTTATACCTGCAGAGTGCCTTGTTCCCTATGGAACACCAGGAGCAAGTCAACTCCTTTCAGTAGGTAGGGATCAAGAACATGTTCAAAATTTTTTAAATACTGTCTTTTAAAGTTACAAAATACTGCATTTTCTCCATCTTCAGTAGTAATCAAAGAAATGTGAACCTAAACAAGATACCAGTTAAATTAACAATTAAAAAAGTTAAATCAGGGAATTTTATAAATAACAATGCCCAATGTTAGTGTGCTCAGAATAGTGACTTTTTAATAAATTGGTATAATCTGGAAATTTGACAACAGGTAAAAAAAGAGATCCATTAAAAAATTATCACTATCATTGACCTTGAAGCATACTCCTGGGAAGTAGTTTAAAAGAACATAAAAAGAAAAAAAATTATTCATAAAAGTTCACTGCAACAAAATAAGCTACTGAAGAAAATTTTGAAATTTTAAATGGCATCCCTGGAAGACTGTCTAGGTAAAGAACTGTGTAGCAACTTGGAAAAATAGTCCTATGTCATAGTGAAAAAAGCAGAAAACAAAACTTTATGTATACTATGATTAAAACTACCTAAAAAAAATAATATGAATAAAGAACTAAATGCCTACATTTTTAACAAAAACAATTTTTCAGATGGTATAAAGTTTTCAGGTGAAAGACAGCACTAGATAAGGAGTAAGAAAATAGAGGTCTGCTCCAGGTCTCACTGCCAAGTAGTGATGTGGCCCCAAGCAAATCATTTATCCTCTCTGCCTCCACTGGGTCATCTGTAAAATTGGGATAATAGCTCACAACACTCTAGGAGGATCAAATGAAAAAGGGCATCTCTGAGAGTAGTTGGTAAACTTAGTTTAAAATATAAACTGGGCATAAAAATAAGTTTAAGACAATGTAAACTGTTCTTCTCTTACCAAATGATGTTTGCCTTTTGGCTTCAGGACTGACTATAATATGGGCTACATCATTCAAAGGCTGATTATTCATACCTCTGACTTGTTTTATATCTTTCACCTGCCTTACCTCTTCCAAAAGCTTCTCTTGAGTCTCTCCAGGTATAAGTGGCAATTCCCTTTGCTCTTCCACCATCCCACCTATGTGCCTCTGTCCCCAAACAGCCTACTTATTTCTATGTCTGCTTCCCCTTGAGTTCCTTAAAGACAATGATGAGACTGAGACTGTCTTATTCAGCCTTGTATTTCTAAAACCTAGTTTGGAGACAGTGCAAAGAAGTACTTGATAAAAAGATTTAAATTATCCATGTGCTTATACTTTCTGATTACCACAAATAATCAAAAGATGCAGCATTCATAATGTAAAAAAGACACAGAAGAAAAAGATATCCCAGAAGAAACTGAAGAAATAAGCTTATGACCTAGGAGAGCTCAGCATAAGATAAATGCAAATGACCCAGGCCAATTTGTTTCTTCTACTACCAATATTACTGGATTAATGGAATAATCTAGCAGACATCTTAATCTTCCCAAAGATAAAGGAGGGCCATAATAAAGAATGAAGGAAGGAAGGGAGGGAGGTAAGAAGTCAACAGAAAAATGGCAAGACTCAAGGATGGCAGTATCTTATCACCTAAGAAGGGAGAGAAGTTATACACACCTGTCAGAGTATAGAGAAACTGCTCTTCTCCTTGCTCTATTTGGTTCCTTCTGTTGTCCAAAACCTTCTTGACTGTGTCCATTAGGCCAAATGTATGTGCTACATTGTTGAGAACAGCAGCATCTATTTAAAACAAAAGACATGCCTGCTGAGTTAAAACACAGGTATTTCACCAACTCCCTTTTGTGCTGCTTATAAATATGAAACACAGTAATGATGGAATTGTTATAACTTCATTTTTAAAATTTTTAACAAAGATTTATCACATGGCTCTTCCCATTAGTGACCTGAGGTGATCTCTGAAAATGATTGGCTATATACTTGCCCAGAAAACTCCATGAAATCATGCAAATCAAAGGGTTCAAATCTCCGTATTCACTTTAAGAACACTTGTGAAACTGCCCAGGACATCAAGGGCATGCATATCTGAAAAGCCACTGAGTGTCTGAAGGATGTCACTTTACAGAAGCAATGTGTGCCATTCCATTGCTACAATGTGGGGGTGCCCAGGGCAAACAGTGGGGATGGACACAGGGTTGGTGGTCCAAAAAGAGTGCTAAATTTTTGCGGCACATGCTTTAAAATGCAGAGAAATGCTGAACTTAAGGGTTTAGATATAGATTCTCTGGTCATTGAGCATATCCAGGTGCACAAAGCCCCCAAAATGCGGCGCAGAACTTACAGAGCTCATGGTTGGATTAACCCATATATGAGCTCTCTCTGCCATCTCCTCATTGAGATGATCCTTACTGAAAAAGAGCAGAATGTTCCTAAACCAGAAAAGGAGGTTACACAGAAGAAAAAGATATCCCAGATCCCAGAAGAAACTGAAGAAACAGAAACTTATGGCCTTGAATATTGAGCATAAGATAAATGCAATACAAGTAAAAGCAGGGGAAAAAAAGATTTATTACATGTATAACTAATTATGACTTAATTGCTGTATCTTTATACATCTTTCCATATAAATAAAAAATAAGAAAAAATCTTTCATCTGGTTATAGGTTCTGATTTTTTTTGGTTTAGAGAACATGAGCATTGTGCTACACAGAGCTAAATTTGAATCTCGTTTTGCTATTTCCGGCAATCTACATGACCTTGGGTAAGTCATTTCACTTCTCAGGGTTCTCATCTGAAACAAATGGGACTAATAACACTGACCCTGAAAGACAGATATAAATATGAGAAGTATCATATTTTAAGTGCCAAACATGGGAACTGGCATGCAATATTATTAAGAGTATTATCTCTGTTCCCCTTTATGCAAAACTTCCTGGAAAAGTGGTAATTGTGGTCACTACTTCCTTAACTCAGATCACTTCTCTACCTATAACTCTTTTCTAGTCACCTCATACAGTTCCATGCATTTAAATAACATGTACATGCTGAGAACTCCCACACGTAGCTCTCTAGCCCTGACCTCTCTCCTGCATTTCAGATTCACACTTCCATCTAGCTGCGTGAAATCACCATTTGAAGGCCTCATAAGCATCCCAATTTACAAAGTCAAAAACTAATTCTGATTTCTTCCCCCAGTGGTCTTCATCTCAGGAAATGGTATCACCATTCACAGCTCATGCATCTGGTTATAGGTTCTGATTTTTTTGGTTTAGAAAACATGATCATTGTGCTAATGTATGACTCAACCTGGATTTCTTCTCTTTCCCCCTATATTCAATCCATCAGCAAGCCTTGTCAGTTCCACATTCAAAATATATCCCTAATGTGATCACTTCTTCCAGTATCCACTCTAATCCATGCCACCATCATCTCTTGCCTGGATTAACCACTTCAAGAGTCTCCCAACTGATCTTGTTTCTACTCTTGCCCCATATAGTCTATTCTCCACATAGCGACCAGAGTGATCTTCTACTAATATAAATTTGGTCACTTCACTCCCTTGTTCAAAATCACTATGATGGCTTACCATCATCTTAACATAAACCCCAAAGTTCTGACCAAAGCTCATCTAAACTATTCCTTATGTTCTTTTCCAAACCCCTCACCTATCACTCTCCTCATACCTTACTCCACTGCAACCACATGGATGCTTCTGCAATTCTTTGAACCCACCAGGCTCATTGTAACTTCAAGATCTTTGTTTTTTCTGCCTGGACTGTCATCTTCCTAGCTCCTCACATGGCTAGTTTCTTCAATTTGGGTCTCTGCTCAAATGCCACCTTCTTAGAGAGACCTTCCTTGACCACCCTATCTAAAATAGTCAGCCTTGCTTTTTATATTATTTGCCTTTTTTTTTTACTCCAAATATGTAAAAAAAGATCTGCTACAGTTCTTTATTTGGAAAATAATTATAAGTTGGCTTTATAACCCTCAGAAAAGAAAAAGATAATGCTATAAAGTTTGCTTAAATATATTTACATAATATATGAGTTATAAAGAGGTAATAAGACACAACTAACAAATCTGACTTCACTGAACACACAAGTTTATGAGATCCCATCCCTTTTGTACCAGATGATTAGAACATCCTTTTACATTATGCACAGCAGCAAGCACCCTATGAGTATTCAGAAACAGCTATAAGTGCACACAATAATTCTGGAAGCGATAAACTAATAGAATATGAGAAATGTGTGTATGTGTATATAGATAGATAGATAGAGAGATAGATAGAGAGAGAGATAAACAGATTGACAGAAAGAGGGTGGCAGGGGAGGAGAGAGAGATTGCTGTCTAGCACCATTTCTAAGGGCAAAAATTACTTGTGGGAAAAACACAACCAGATCTCGGTTTAAAACGTAGTTATAAACTTTGGACAAGTAACTTAACTTTTATGAGTCTTAGTTTCCTAATCTGTAAAATAGAGATAATAATATCTGTATCTCAGTGTTTTCATGAGACTAACAGGATCTACCTACAGTTGTTAGTGTTTAATAAGTGACCGCTATTACTAGAATTAGTACACTTACCTGTGACCTGGAAGGGAGCCTGGATGAGACGTTGCTGAACTCCCCTGAGTAGCTCCTCTATTTCCTTCTGTATATTGCAAACAACCTCCTCCATCAGCCCTACATCAGCTATTCCTTTCCAGAACATCAAAGTGTCCTCTGGTACAAGAGAGGTAAGACAAAGGGTAAACAAGAGATGCTACTTATACTTTAGCACATCTCTATAATGCTAAATTCAAAATTATTTTGATTCAAAATGATTTCTTGTTGGGCCATTTCTGGGAAAAGGGAAGAAGCTTTTGGAACACTAACTGCCTCCCTGATTTGGTATCTAATTATTAAGCCTCTTCAGCAACATAGGGACTTGGGATAACTGCCAGTTTGTCATGGCTCTGGCTATAGCGAACAAGTATCTCCCTCTAATAAAGATACTAAATTAAGTATTAAATAAACATTAAGTAGTAGCTATTTAAAGTTAAATAATATTTAATATATTAACAGTGAAATAATAATTATATTAAATTAAATATATACTCCTCCTAGACCTAGACTTAAAAAAAAATGAAATAAAACTGTTGAATACGTAGTTATTCAACACCCTGCACCCTGAGGACAGAGGCTCTATCTTTTCATCCATCTATCTAGACCTAGCAAGAATGCAAATTAAAAACAGTTAACAACAAATATTTGTTAAATGAATTAATGACTGGAGAACAATGTGAAACGTCCCTGATCCCCTCTAAGTGAATCACTATTAGTCACCGTCTCCACACCACCTGCTACCTAATCTTTTCTTCTAACATCTTGCAGCTTGGCTCATCTAAGAAACGTGCCAAAGTTGGAGGCTGAAAAGCATGGTCTACAAACAGCTGAATCCAGCTCTGACACTTACTGGTTGTACAGCTGATCTGAGGCAAGTTGCTGAACCTTTCTGAATTTCAACTTCTTCATGTGTAAAATATGACTTTGCAGGGCATGTACATTAAAGTAAGATGTTTGCAGCTATAATCATATTAATATGTGTGAGAAAAACTAGTGAAAGAAATTAAGAGGCTTTTTGTGCCCATAACTGTGATGGGAATTGATAAGGATCACAAAACCCTGCAGGGTTTCTGAGCCCATAGAAAAGTACCTGAAATTTCCTCTGAGTCTTTCTTCACACCTTCCTCTGTGGCCATGGTAACAGCAGCAGTGAGAGCCGAGTTCCATTCCAGCCCTGCCTCTTCCATGCTCTCTTCTGAGATGGCAATCTGTGTGATGCTACCTAAAGGCAGTCCATTAGAGATAAGGCTAGTGAATTTTATGAAAAAGTCATAGCTATCCTCTATTTTATACGCACCAAAGAGACCCTCTTATTTTAACATTCTTGCCTTTTGCCTGCAGGTTCATATATTAAAAAATAGAATCCTAGGTAAGCCAGGATGAATATTGGATTTTCTAAAGGAAACCTGCCTTGCAAAAGAAAATGCTTTCTTCTTTCTCTGAATATAAAGGGAAAGATCACTTATAAAATCGCAAAAGAGCAATCTGCTTCCTGAGCAGGTTTTTAGAAAAAGACTGACTGATGATGGGCATGAATGCCAGACTGCCTGCTCCAGACTTAGTGAGGATGAAATGGACCTGAAATAATTTAAGAAGAAGGTATGGTGCTCAGCCAAGAGCCCTACTACAAGCATCTTTGATACTAACAATCTAGAATATGTGAACTTGCTATATTGCTTATCACCCCATAAGAGATGGCAAGAGAAATGAGACTGAAAAATCAGATAAGAGATCCATGAACAGCAGAGGAAAAAACTTTTGCTATTAATTGTATATTAAGGTTTTCAGCAAAGAAAATTGAGAAAACTCAAACTGATTCAGACAGAAATATAGACAAGTGTAGACTCTACATGTTGAAGGCTATCAATAATCAAGCAAAGAAGTAGTAATATCACTATGAATAACTGGGATTTGGTCAAAGGAGTTTTGGCCAAATAAAAAGAAAGGAAATAATTTCACAGCATTTTTCACTTTTCAAGTACAGGAGTCACATGACCAAAAATTCAAATTGCTAGATATTTTCTACTTTCCTGAAAGGAACTTAGGTTCCAAGAGATCTGTCTTCTACTTACCTGGTAGTAACTCATAGAAGAATAGCAGGGCTGACCAGAAGAAACCTCAAAAGGTCATTTTTAAAGCACAGTACTTCCCTTACATCTTTTATTGTTCTTACAACTCTGTCAGGCATATTTTATAAGTCTTCTGGAAGCAGCTGAGACATAGCCTATCTAAAAACCTTAGCTGTGCTAAATCTCCAGCTGGACTAACTGAATCCTTAATAATAATCTCACAAGGCTACATCTTTCCTGGATATGGACAGGGAGACCTATTCCTCAACTCAACAAAACTGAAGTTAAAAGTGTGTGCCCATCCTGCTTCACTGTGAGGAAACCTAAGCTTGGTTATCTGGATGCCTTCCAGGCAGAGCTATCTGATCCTTATAACAGTCTCCAGAGTCCAGCCCAGTCAACCACACACTGTCTTTGACACATCTCAGTTCAACAGTTGGAAACCACTCACTCTTCTAATCCACCTTCTGGCCTCCACCACTAATACAGCAAAGGATTTTCAAAAAATCTAATTTCAAAGATTTGCCAATGACACCTAAGTGAGACTGAGACTTTGAATAAGAATTATAACTACTGAACCATCTTACTAATGTTTACTATGCCATGATAAGAAAGAAACAAGGCAGAAGTTCTGGCCAATAGGAATCACTTGGGAGAAAACAAAGAGATTTGTTTCTAAAGCAAGGTATCCCACTCAAGATTATCACATCTGACAGGGACGTCAATGCTCATGAGAACTGAAATTACAAAACACAGAGGAAAAATGGGGGGAAAAGTGCCACTAAAAATCACAGTGGGTTTTCTGGTGGTTTCCTACCCCCTACCATCAGCCGAAGTGGGTGTCTGCACCACACTTGTCTGTTGTCCTGGCACTGGAGCTCTTGCACTGCTGATCAGGAGATCAAATTTGGTGCTTCTGCAGGTATTGGAGCAAACCTTGTCATGTTGGTAAAAATCAATCTGTCCAGAGTCCATCATTTTCCTACACAAAAGAAGATAAGAAGTACCAGTTCAGCCTGTACTTCATCTGGAGGGACCTAGGCCTCAGGAACAAACACGAAGATGCTAAGTCTACTCTGCATATTGGTGAAACCTAAAAAGTCATTAGATTGCAAAAATTCTAATTGGGACTATAAAATTTGCATTGGTACTGCCCCCATATACAAGTACTCCTTTTTGCTCCCTAGTCTATTCATTGTAGTTACTCTCTTATTTCCCATTATCACTAAGCTTTAGGTATATACTCCTGACAGTAGCTAAGTTTCCCCATAGAAACTCACTGAAACCAAACCTGAAAGGGGAAAAGATGACCTTATATTCTAGCACAACTGAGAAATGCCACAGGAGAATTAGAATTTTGTGATGAGATTCTGATGTATTGGTATTCCTAGACCAGCAAGATCTGTTTCCACTTATGGAGGCGTAAAACTTGGCATATTTCTTTTCTTAAAAAAAAACTGATAACAACTCTCCTGTAAACACAAAGTTGATTATACTAAGCCTCCACTATAAAATGTCCCTATAACTGGATTTGCATAACATTGTTATTATAGGTCATGGGCAAAACCATGGGGAATATTAATTATAGTAAACTCTATGTTCTAATGTTACTTGGCTTTTACTAAAGATTTTTTAGGCATTCTGATTCCTTTTTCCATTGGCAGAAAGTAGGCATATGCTTGTTTTTCCAGGTAAATAAAACAATAACAACAAAATGAAAATTAAAGGTATACCTCCCCAATTTCATTCAACTACTTATTTGTGCACACAAATCATCTGGAATGAATTTTTAAAAATTATGAATCTCTGACTATAAAAATAATACATAAAGAAAAAAATTAACATTTTCTGTGGACAATGCAAAACAATATAAAGAAAACAGCTGCTCTTTAAAAAAAAAATCCACAACATAAATAATATCAACATTTTGGCATACTTTTTTCTACTAAGCTTTACTTAACACAACTAAAATAACACTGTTCAATCATTTTATAGTTTGTTTTCTTTCTTATATAAACATTTTTTCCATGTAAAAACTCTTTAGAAATATTTTAATGACTATATAATATCCCACAGTATATACTTATATATATTTATATGAGCCATAATTTACTTTAGATATATTTTGACTACATATTAAGGCAGACTATAATTTTCATCATAATAAATAATGTTGCAATGAACATCTTTATGCTTGAATCTCTACATGCACTACATATTTTTCTGAAGACAGATACCTTAAAAAGATTTAAAGACAAAGGGTAAGATATTTTCAAGGTTCTTGATATGTGTTCTGTGGGAAACTTAATAATTCTTGACCATATTTTAAAATTTTCTAACAAGAGGCAAGTGCTCAAGGAGTACCAGCTAATGTTAATCTTCACCAGAGGGAAAAAAATTACAGTAATAAACTTCCTGCATAAAGAAATAGGGGTGGGGATATTTCACATTCTTAAGTTTATTTCTATGGTACAGTGATGGCAAGGGTTGCATTCACTGTGCATAACTGTTACTTATCAACAGCACCCTTCTGCTGTACCAGATTATCCCAGGATTTGTCAAGTCAGCCTATACCTCTCACGCTTCTTCACCACCAGGCTTAGATCTGCTTATGCTTGGTGATCTCAAGCAGGACCATAATCTACAGGAGTCTCTCTGTCTAGAGAGGAACCTGCCCAGCACCCCAGCATCAGAAAAATTTGCCCTACATGATGGGAAGAGTTAATTTAACTCAATCCTCCTTCTCCCAAAGGGATTTTAAGAACAAGTTGATGAAGGTCAAATAATACATGAATTGCTCAAGTCAATCCTTCAGACAGAATAAAAATTTCAAAGTAAAGAGAAAAGACTAGATTGTCTGGAGTCTACCATTATTAAGTGTCCCAAAGTAAGTTGAAAGGTATGTCCCTGCTATTAGAACTCACCTGAGCATGATTCCACCCAGACGAATGGCTCTCTTCCAGTCCTTTAGGGTGGACTTGCCAGCCAGATGAACAAAATGCTTGGGGCTGATCAACTGATCATTGAACTAAAGTAAAAACAGAAATTCAAAATAATCCAACTTCAATTTAGGCAGGCCAAAGGGAAAAAGAGATAACTCTACTTGTTATATATAAAAAATACCCAGAAACACATTAAGTCATAGCCTTGTATTATCCAGCTTCCTGCCCTATTGTGACAGAGAAGATGATCCTTCTCTGGGCCCAGCACCCTGTCCTGGTAGAAAGCTACAGAAGACACAAGGAGAATCAGAGATTAATATACTGATTAGCATCTAAAATCCATTTATGCCTTGAATCGGATAGTTGTTGGGTCCAAAATTGCAAAGCCCGTGTAAATAAACTGAAGTAATCTATCTAGCCCTAATGACAAGATTCAGGATGTGGTAGAAAGAATAAATATGGTAGAACCAATAGTATGGCAGAGCCTTGAAACTCTGTAATCCTAATGATTCTAGGATAATGCCACTGCTATTATCTATGGGTACAGCTGTGGCTACCAGTGGAGACAAAATAAGCAATTATTTCCAAATTGTGCTCTTCTGATTATTTATTTTTATCAGTAATAATTTGCAATAAGTGCTATCATAACCCACCATCAGTGTAAGGCATTTTACATAAACTATCTCATTTCATCTTCTAGCAACCTTATATTGTGTATGTTTGTGTGTGTGTGTGTATGATTATTTGTATTTTAACATATGAGCCTCTGAAATATTAAATAACTTGCTCAAGGTCACCTAGCTAGTCAATGATAGAGATAGGACTCCATTTATTCATTCATTCAACAAATATTTATTGATAAATATGCCAAACACCATTCTAGGTGCTAGGGATATACTGGTGAATAGGACAGACAAGTTCTCAACTCTCACAAAACTTTTGCTCTGGTGGGACTTGAATCCAGGTAAATTTTACTCCAAAGTCCTTATTTCTTTTAATGTGACACTATGGAACTACAGCCATAGAATTGAAAACATTGATATGGTAGGAGAGAGAGAAGAGGCACTGAAACCATACCCTCGGAAAACAAGGAGCCCCAAAATAGGCCCTAGCAAGGAGAAAAGACAATTACCTTGACACACTTTACATTTATTCCTGGACATACAAACTTCTTCCAGAGGAGAATGGCTTTACTCTCCCCACAAGTTATGGGGTAAGCAATTTCCATATCCTCATTTGCTTCTATAGTGCTTGCATCTGAAAATGGAAAAAAAATCATCAGTTACTTATCATTCTTCCCCAAAGCTTAATTCAAAATTTCTAGTCTCCTGCTTCCTCTAAGGGGCTAACAATTCAAATTGGCTGTTATTGTTTAGGAATCTTCTGGAAGAAGTTTGGCGTAACAATTCTCTTTCCAAACTCCTCCTATGTGCCACTGTGCTATATACTTTTACATGCTTAATCTTATTCAGTTCTTACAACAATCCTATGAAGCAGTAATTGTTTCCTATGTACAAATGTGGAACTCAGAAAGGTGAAGGGTCTTTCTCAGGGACACATAGCTAAGAAGTGAGAAAGTAGGACTCAAATTCAGGTTTGTTCAGTTTCAAAGTTTCTGGTCAGTTTCTTTCCACTGACTACCTTCCAATCAACACCTTATCAGTCCTCATCAGCAAGCAACTTCCCTAATGACAGGGAGCAACCTTGAGGCTTCAGTTGCTTTGTGGAATTTTTATGGATGAAAAATCTTTTTAGGAACCCTAGCAAAGTGATGTTAAACAATTAACTAACAGCCCTAGCATCTTAGTCAGTGGTGTCTCCAAATGTGTCACTATTAATCAAATTGATGGCTACAACATTGGTAGAGTACACTGGGTGGGGGGCCAAAAATAAGGCACAAAAGGCAAGAAATGTCAACCAATGAAGCTAAGATCAAAGATATTAGAATAACAAAAAACTTACCAATCCCTTCTTCAATTTTGTGTATTGTGTGAGTTTCTACTGCCACAACTGCCGTGTTGTTCTCAGAACCAGCTTCATAAATCCTGTTGTAAAAGTGTCCATCGATAAACAAACTATATAAATCATGAAAAAATTAATATTCACAGCATGGGGTTAAGAAATCTGTCTTAATCTATCTCAAAAGGAATAAAATAAATACACTTTACAACTCTATGTTAGTGTTTTGACTAGTTCCCCAATATTTAAACTCTAAGCTGCCCAGGACTGCTTAGCAGCTACTACCGTGGAAATAAATCAACAGTTTCCCCCACCTCAAAGGAAAGTTCCTCTTACTGCTGTATTTACACCAGATGTTTCCCTTCATGACTTTAAAAGCTTATAAGATAAAAGTGTTGCTTCAAGCATGAGATTAAGTCATATCACAGAATTATCCTAACAAGACTAAAAAGCAAGCCTGCTGGACAGTTCAAGGCAAAAAGAACCTGCTGACCATAGAAGTTCTGTCCCTTGTTGGAATCTAGGCACTTAAACATTTTTTAAGGCACCATAACCAAACTACACTGACACCAGCAGAGCCTAGTTTAAAAAGGAGACTATGTCCAAAGTAACTAGCAGTAACTAGAGGCACCACTCAGGGAAAGTCTCTCTAAAATGTTTCTGCTTTCTAAGAAATGGGCTCAGCTCAGTTAACCTAACATGATACACTAATGGCCTATGTTTAATTTCTATAATAAACCTAATGTGTTAATCACTGTATCTTGTTATATGAAAGCACTGCCTGAATAACCTCCTTTGCATCTCTGATTACCCACCCCCACAGCGACACCTCTAGCACAGAACTCCGTTCTAAATTTTACATGAGGACACAGTTAACTGCCAAATGAATAAATCTGGATGCCCCATAGGCCTTTGTTGAACTCATTATGTCTAAAATAACCAAGTTTTCTTCCCTCTCCCATCTCCCCAACTATTCTTCCTATACTCGCCATCCTTGTTAATGGAACCACCCAGCACACTATAGTCTAAGACAGAAAGAAGCTGGGGATTTACTCTCGATTTCTCCCTTTTCCTCAACTCCAACATAGCCTCCAAATTCTGCCAGCTTCTCTTTTACACCAACCACCCTCCCTGTGTCTATTTCCACTGCAATTCAGGCTGCATCATCTCCAGTCTGAACTGGCCTCCTTGCATTGATCTGATCTTCGATGTTCCTACCACAGTAATTATGTAACTTGCTCCTTAAGACCCTTCAACAACCCTCTCTTTGCTGTTAAAATAAAGCCCCAAATCCTTAATATTTAGTCCCTCCAAGATCTGGCCCCTGGCTTCAACTCTCCCCACACCCACCTTATGATCCAAGCCCCAGTCATACCAAACTATTTGTGGTTCCCAGAACTGTCATCTTTTACACCTTCTACCTTTGCTCTTACTTCTCCCTCTTCTGAGAAATTTCCCATCTATTTGTTTAATGAGTAGCCTCTATGACGCTTTTCCTTCCATCTCAATCCCTCCAAATATAATCACTCATTTCCTCCTTTGTGACCCAATTGTACTTTAGGCTTCTGTCAGAACACCTGTAACACTCAATACTATATACTTGTTTACCTGTCTGTCTCCCCTTGGGCATAGTCTAAGAGGCCCTGGAGAGAAGAGATTATGTCTCATTATTAATTTATTCAATTCTGTATGCCTGTCACATCAACACTAACTGGAACATGGCAGAGCACACAATTAATGTCTGGTAAATGAATGAGGATTGTGATAAACATCCTGTGATAAAAAAAAGTGTCATGATAAGAAATCACTGTCTTAAGTTTAGTAAATTCATTCTAAATTGACCAATATGTGCAAAATCCTTTAAAATAGTAAATTCTTATTTATACATAATTTCATCAACAGTAAATTTCACTTGGGGTGGGAAGTAGGAGCATACTCTGTATTTTTATGAGTAAACAAGGTTTTATCAGAAAATTTTTCTAAAGCAACTCAGGAGAGTGATAGATTTAGCCTAATTGTATGTACTACAACTATAAGTAAAAATCATAAAATATGTTCAAAATGTTAAGGCATTGTAAGATAGCGATGTATGAATCATCAAAGGAAGGTCAAATTATGTTTACTAGAGCTTTAAATCTAAGTCTACACTTTTGTATTTTAATTTTCTGAAAACTAAAAATCCACATATATTAAATTCTTTTTATCTAGAATGTTAAGGGCAGATATTGTTATTCATTGGATGTTGGATTATGACATAAACTAAGGGGCACCCTACTGATCTGAAAGAGTATATATCTTCCTAAGGCCTTAAACTTTCGACTATGGAGGGATAATGAGCAAGAAAGGGAAGGCTGGGTCATTATTCCTCAAGTTGAACTATTGTTCTATATAATTGTATCAGGAGACTGTTACCACTCTACTTTGCTTCAAAATGTATTCCTGAAAATATATATGTATATAATGAATACTTGAAAAGTATAAAGTGTCATGTATGGTCATGTTGTAAGAGCTAGAAAGACATACAAGAGGAGTTCTATATATTGAAATCCCTAGAATATTTATATAAAATCCCTAATTATTTATTGCCTTTTGAATATAATCTTTACCAATTTATTTCCAGCAATTCATACATGTTCTTTGTTTCTTTCCTTCCTATTTGAACCGGCAGCCAATCAAGTTAAGTGTTAACTGTGGCTGAAGACTGACACCTGATGATTTCCATCTTTGTCTCAAGTGTGTTAAACTTATGAGACCTGTAACTTATTACTAGTATCAATGTTTTTGTTCCCTACTCTTTTTTAAAAAATGAGGCTAAAGTGCAATAAAACATTCAAATAATTAAAAAATACAACTTGAGAAATCAACTAAGCATCAACTGGCAGGCATCTCAAAATGCAGTTCCTCAAAATGTTTATTCACTAGCTCATATACTAAATTCAATGTGAAAAGTAGACTGGGGAGTTAATATAGTTGTACAAGTATGCCTATATCTCACCAAGCATAAGAAGTTTCCAGAAAAGGCAGTATCGTTTGGAAAACAAGAGAGACAGGCAAAAGAAAAATAAGGGGAAGAAAATCTTCAAAAGAATTAAGTCTTTAGGAGCAGAGAGGTTTTTTTCTCTACTAGAGATAGGGCAAGTGACAACTGGAGCATGTTAGGACAGATAGAAGAAATGATGACTCCAACAGAAAGTAAACCTACCAAGAACTTTAATTCTTCCCCATGTTATCCTTCCTCAAAGGGATGTGTATAAATATGTGTAACAAATGAAATTCCCAAACAAATGAATTTGAATAAGCATATATAACCTGTGGGTGCCAATAAAAATGTTAATGATTACTGACTATATGTCTGGAATTATTTTTATCATCTTTCCCTTACAGATCGTAGATTTCCTTTATGCTTAACAATATTTAGAAATGTCAGCAAATTATATTTTAAAAACTAAAAAGTCATTATTTTTACAGATACATACTACTGTTTTAGGATTTGCCTCAAATAAGACAGAGGTGAAATAAGACTGGCCATGTACTGATAATTGTTGAAGCCGGGTAACAGGTGCTTACATGGGGGCTCATTATAGTATTTTAATTCTTTAAATTTCCTATACAAAAAATTTTTTTAATTTTTTTCAAAAAGAGGTTAGAGATTAATTTATGTATCCATAAGTGTTTAAGACAAGGTACATTATTTAGTATACTGGGATTGGATTTTATGTTTGCCCAAGAACATGTCTATGAATAATCTTTTATACATTCTCCAAGTTATAAAATTTAACTACTCCTTCCTTCTCTATGTAGATCTAATTCTTATTTAACCTTCAAGACCATTTAAAAAATCTTACCTCATCTCTCAAATTCATAGTGATCATCTGAATTCAAAAGCACTTCCTAACCATGCAACTCAGCACTTCTTAGATTTTGCCATGTAAGTGATCTATTTACACATATATATTCTGGGTTTGCACAACTAGACTGCAAGTGGGAACCACATGCTATATTTCTTCCAACACCTTTGTGATATTTTATATAATAATAAGTTGTTGGTATGTGTTTTTTGATAGACTAAGGTTGATAATTTGCCCATCCATGAGAGTCCAGAGAGCTTTTGGTGGGAATACAGAGTGGGTAAATAAGATGAGGTAGTCGAGTCATTTACCCACATGGAGCTCACAGTGGAGAAGAGAGAGAGAGACAGGGAACAGGTTAATTCTTGTAATAATATTAAAATGACCAATTTAGCTCACAATACATTAAAGAGATGAAAACTTAGCCAGCTCTGAGAGACTGACATTGAATGTTCGACTGTGCCAAGCAACCATAAAGTTATAATTTCCCCACTCTAAACTTCCCAAAATTTTCAGAATATTGAAATCTCTAGCCACTTACCCTTGTTGCACAGGCTGTAACTGCAAGATTACTTGAGTTTTAGTGTCTTCAGGGTTCTCCCCTTCATTTCCTTCAGTGGGTACCACAACCACATCCCCCACTGGGACACTCACTTCTGCATTAGCCATCTTTCACATGAAGTCAGATAGCTGAGACTGTCAGAAACAAGAAGCACGAGTAACTTCACCTGGTTTGAAAAGATGGCAACCATAGCAAAGGAACAGCAAGATAATGGCTACCAATTCCAAGAGCACCCTGGAGATTATGGAAAAGGATGGGAACTGTGAGGAGAGGTTGACATAGGCTGTAATCTTTCCCGAAATGCCTAACTAGCCACTTGCTATTGTAGGTTTTCTTAGTATGTGTAATTCAACCCAATGGTGTGCTGGAGCCAGCGCTATCAACCAGCTTCTGAGAACTGATTGCACACATCTCTTCTCAACTTTGCATTTAGTGCCATCAAGTTGATAGCTTGAAATTAGTAATGCTAGGAATATGTACACCACAGAAATTGGCAAACACTACAAATCAGGGGGCTTTTGTGTGTTTTATTTTCCTAGAGAGCTGGTTTACAACATCCCAAACAGTAAGCTCCTAGAGAGTAGGAGTCATCCCTTTTCTTTGCAGCCAGCCATTACACCTCACCAAGTGCTCTGCCCAATGTGAGTACTTAGTATCTGCTGACCAACTGATCTAAGCTGTGTGGGAAGAGAAAGATGATTTGCATTGTGTGGTTGTTTAATAAATGCTGAATCCAATTGTATGAACTCTAGGAACTTCTTAATATCTCTTTGCCTTAGACTGAATGGAGAGAGGATCTTGCCTGGTATTTCCCTTACAGAGCTATTGGGGAAAGCAGCGCCCAGCACCATGTACTCCTTGACTCTAAAGTAACTCAAAGCACTGTCCCAATCTCAATGAAACCTCAGAAAGCTCCAGGATTTTCTGCAGTTGTTAGTCCTCACAGTTGAAAAGAAAGAAAAGGGTCACTTAAGAGAATGTAAGTAGGAGCACTGTATTTACTGTGATGTGAATACACAACGATGATTAGAACCGTGCTGTACAGAGCCAGGCACATGATAGATGAAATTTTGAATATGTAACTGGTAGTCAGACAACCAAATCCACATTTCAGCTCTGCCACAGCACTTGTTCACTTACAATACACATACTTAAGCATAGCACTCAATCTCCCTCATTTGGCTCAAAAATATTTTTCCAGTTTTATCTGCAACTGTAATACCCCAAGAATTTTAAGTTCCAGCCATACCAACCTCCCACTGTATTCTGATATAATACATACTTTCAGGTTTCTGTATGTTTGTTATACCTTATGCACAAAATTCCCTTCTCCCTTCAAGACCTAGTTCAAAGCCCACTCCTCCACAAAGCTACTACTAAACCATTTTTTTTTCTGCAGTCCCCCAACACTTGGTCTGTAGCTCTTCCCTAGTGTTTATCATGCTGAGTCCCATCCTGCAGTTTACTGAAGAGATGGCTGTCTCCGTAACTACACCGTACTCTCTGTGAGGACAGTGCTGCTTATCTAAAAATCTTGTCTCCTATAGCCCTGTTCATCACAGGCACTGACATACCTTTGTTCACTCAATTTTTACTTGTATTTGTCCTAGTTAAAATTCCTCATATCTGACTTAAACTTCTGCCTTTTTTGATTCTTGCAATTTTTTTCCTGAATTCTGCACCTCCTATATCCAAAAGCCTCTTAACATATTTGTAGGCACCTTAAACTCAACTCATGTTCCCTCTCAAACTGCTCCTATGTTTCCTGCCTCAGTAAAAGGTGCTACCCTCCACCTATTTTCTCAAGCCAGAAACTAAGTAGTTATTTTTTATTCTGTCTAAATCCAATCAGACACCAAATCCTATCAATTCTATCACCTACATACCTCTTTTAACCATCCCCGTTCCATTTGTGCTGCCACCTCCATATTCTGAGCCACCAGTGTTACCTGGATTTTTCCAGCTGTTTCTCATTTGTAGCCTAATCTCTGGTCTCGCTCTCCAATCCATTATCTACAGAGCAGACAAAGTGATCTTACTAAGGGTCACAGACCATTTCCCCACTTAAAAATCCTTCAGTGAGGAACAAAACAGCAGCAGAATCACAGAATCCAAGAATGGACTAACAGTTACCAAAGGGAAAGGGACTGGGAAGGATGGGTGGGATGGGAGGGATAAGGGTGGGGGGAGAAAGGGGCATTATGATTAGCATGTATAATGTTGGGGGAGGCAAGGGGAGGGCTGTGCAACACAGAGAAGACAAGTAGTGATTCTATAGCATCTTACTACGCTGATGGACAGTGACTGTGACGGGGTATGTGGGGGGGACTTGGTGATGGGGGGAGTCTAGTAAACATAATGTTCCTAAAATAAATTAAAAAATAAATAAATCCTTCAGTGGATTGATTCCCTTTGCAGTGAGAATAAAGTACAAACACCTTGGTTTATGAAATCCTCCACATCTATCCTATCTACCCTGCTAGCCTCTTAGAGTTCTTCCACCCACATTTTGAGCTCCTGTCATTGACTTGAAATATGCTGCATTTCGTCACCTGGGCTTTCACACTTTTTTCCTCTACCTGGAATCCTCTCTTCCTTCCTCTTTGGCTAGTCACTGCTACGCTTTTGTAACTTACTGAAAACATCACTAACTCAGGGAGGCCTTCTGTACTTCCTTGACTAGATCTGAGCTTGTGTTCTTGCTCCCTCAGTGCCTGCAGCACCCCTGTCACAACCATCACATCCCACTTTGTCAGCTCTCCCTTACCAGACTCCATCCTGGGAGAGCAAGGATTGCTTTACTTTTTCAGCAGCTCCCCTGTGCTCAGCTCAGTGCCGAAGACACAGAGTGTAATAAACAGTTTTTATACCTGCTATTTACAAAACTGCCTAACCAAAACATTCCAAGGAAATTTGGCACATAGCTGGTATGTAACAATTTTTATGCAATGACTAAATGACTCACCTTACTCTAAAAGACTTCTAGAAAAGTAGAAATACTTTTCTAACTTAGGGAATATAAATTTGCTTAGGCACCTAGGGTAAAGTACCTTGCTTATCATTCATCATTATGGTCAATTCAACAAAGAATTACTGAGTTTCTACTCCACACTGGGCACAGAGTTAGGCTCCTTGGATATGGAAAGGGGCAGTATCTGCTTTTAAGGAACTACAGAAGGGAAAGAGACGCTTGGCACTGCCACTTACTAGAGGAAAAAATCTAATTGCAAGATATTACAATACATAATCTGAACTTCTGTAAATCAAAGGTTTGAAACTAGGAAAAAAAGAGACAGAGAGAATCAATGGACTGGTTCACTGGCTGTGGGCAACAGAACCAAAACCATTAGGACCTTTGAGTCTAGAAAAAAACAGGAAGGGATATGATGAAGCACACAAATACAAATACCAAATCCTAGAATAACTGGATATCTTCAAAATTAAATAATTTTATGAACCATAAAAATGCAGGATGATTTAAAATAATCACAGTTAACATTTGTTGGGCATTTGTTTATTGTCAAGCGCCATTCTGTTCTATTACATTTTTAATGAATTTAAAAGATGTGATACTTGAGTATGTAACAAACTTACAGAATTTATTACTCCAAAAAGGTGGTTTAAATTTTTAAAAATAGCTTAGGTATAATAATAGGTTAGAGACCAGAATTAGAAGGATGTGTCTAGTTTCAACCTTCTACCCTAAGGTTGAGTCCTTTCTACAACACTCAGGAGTAAATGGTTGACTAACTACCTAATACTTTTACTCAAAAGGAACTCATATTTTACTCCTTACCTTTCCCACACTATGGAACCCAAGAAGAATGTTCTGGCTGCTTCTCTAACCTTCTGAGAATTTATCAGAGAAGATAATTATAATAATCTACAATAAATCTCTCAGTGTCAGAGAAACAGGTCTGATCCAACATGGCAATTCTTACATTCTTTACAGCAGCAAGTTTGGGTTGAATCTCTCACTACCCTAAATACCATATTCCTAACAAGAAACCCAAAACCAGCTCTACAGACTCCACTGGCTAACTGCAAAGTCATCTCTTTGAGCTGAGTGTAAAATGAAAAGTAGCTCTTGTTTATTATAGCAACAAAACTCCTGAGGCAAGATGAGTTACTCCTATGGGTATTTCATAGAAGGGGCCTTATAGTATTAACTGTGGAATCACACAAGTCTTTGTAATTCTAGGGGAACACACATAAAGGAAGTATATCAAATTTATGTGAAAAGACTTTTGTAACTATTTTCACAGACAAAGAAAGACCTTGAAAGCTTACTCACATAAGCTATCTGAAAACTAAACAAAGGTCATCTGACCTACTCTGGATTAAATTCATTTTTTGTCTGAAAATTGTTGAAAACATGGCAACATGTAAGCATGAGTGTCACATGACCAAAGGGACATCAGAGTTGGTAGGTTAAGAGTAATAGAAACTCCAGATATCCTGAAGTTTTCTAATCCCAAGGTGTATTTATTCCATACTATAATTTTTGTATAAATTTTATAGATAGTCTTAAGAAATTTCCAAGTTAAAACTTCATTATTACTTGAGGCCAAGCCCTTTTATTTTTTTCCCTTTGTTATTCCTTCTCATGCATTTAGTTGGTGAACCAGGGTGCTACCAATGTAATGGAGCCAACAAGAAGGCTACACAGGACCACTGTTGAGGGAAATAGTTAAAGCAAATGAGGTTTGGGGTACGTCACTATTGGAGACTGCTATATAGGTGTTCGGGGGAGCAATGGAATGAAAGTGTTCTTTGAAGGGTCTTCCCTCTAGCGTAGAGGGGACTTCTGCTTAGGATAAAATGAAAACAGGGCCCAAACTAACTCAATAAATTTAAGTACACATTAGCTATTGTTCAAATAAATGTAAGTGGTTGACTAATGACTAATGAAAAATTCACCAAGTCAGTAGATAATAAATATATGTAATTGATAAAAGGCTTACAACCAAGGGAGATAGTCCAGACATTTAATGAAAAGTCCCCCAGAAGTAGTTTGGTAACCATTAGCAGAGGCAAGTGGGAGAAAAGAATGCCTGTGAGACTAGAATTATCTGACCCTCCCTTTCGCTAATCCTCCGGGTTATGAAGGAAAACTCCGCATCTTGGTTCTCCTAAACCAGACACCAAACAAGAATTCTTTTGTGCCTGCTAGGAAGTGGTTTTGAGATTTTTCTCATCTCAAGAGAATTCAGGCCTCCTCCTGTTCCGTGGCTAGCCAATCTTCCTGATCCCTGGGTCAAATCTTGACAAGGTAAGTCTGGGGGACCACTCTCCAGGACCCTCAGGTAAGGCTCTACCTCATCTCTCCGCCTCACTTAGGAGACACCTGGCCAGTTCCTTTGTCAATTCAGAAAGTAGGGGTATTCTAACTTCTCAATTATCTTCTCTCGGTCCTCAAAAACATGGGTTTCCCCATCCCGACATATCAGCTTATCCTGTTCTCTATCTATGTATCAGGAGGTACTCAAATCTCTCTTTCATCCCTCATAGGTCTGGACCCTTCTCATTCCTACTTCAGGAGGCTCTGAGGTGTCTTCCTACCACCCCCTCATCTACGGGAGGGCGGAGACCTACTCCGGCTCTCCTGGGAGCTCTGCTTCCTTGTCCCCTGCTCCCACTACTCAAACCTGTCACCACGCCTTCGGAAAAGCACCTGCCCTCCTTTCCCCTAGACTGAAGGGCTGAGGCCTCTGATGCACCCCTCGGGTGAAGCCTGGACCTTCCTTTCCTCAGCCGAGCCCCCTCTCTGCTCCTGCTCCCGTCAAGTCTCCGAGGGTCTCCTCCCGAGGGGAGAGCCAAGCTTCCCTCACCTTTTGTCACCCCACCCCCACCTCCAACGCGACCCAGGCCTCTCCCGAGCTACTCATAGAAGGGCCTGGTGCTCCCCGGACCCCGCCTCTGGGGATACCCCAGGATCCCCAGACCCCTCGCCGGGGCTCTGGGCGTCCGGGTCTCTCAGTCCGGAGTCGCTCCGGCCCCTCCGGGGCCCTAGGCCTAGGACTTCCGGGCCCCTCAGTCCGGGGGCGCGGGGGGCCCCCCACTGCCGGACCCACCGGCGCCCGCCGTCCTAGGCTGGGGGCCGAGCCCAGTCGGCGCGGCCGGCCGCGCTGGGGGCGGCCCGGCAGCTCGGGCGGACCCAGCGGCAGCGTCCCCCCACCCCCCCGCGGCGCCGCGACGTCCGCTCGCTCCCCGGCGGCGGCGGCGGCACGCACAGGGCGTGGGGAGGCGCCCGCGGAGGCAGCAGCCCCCCGCCCCCTGCGCGCCCGCCCGCCCTCGCCGGCCGCCGACCCCACCCCGCGCCCGCGCGCCCACCCCTCCCCCTCCTCACCGTCTCCGTCGGGCGGGCGGGCGGCGAGCGGCCAGGGCGGGCGAGCGACGGAGCATGCGCAGAGGCCGCCACGGCTGGTACCGCCACCGCCGCCGCCAGGCCGAGCTTCAACACTTCCGGCCGCCGCCGCCAGCGAGCTGCCTCCTTAAAGGGAACGCGTCCTTATTGCCAGCCCCGCGGAGGGTGAACCTCAGCCGGATGGGTTTGAGTGAGCCTTTACTTGAGCAGTGGTCTTCTGCTGTGAAAAGTCAGTTTTGGAAAGGACACTAGGAACCCTAATAACTCTTCTTCCCCCTCTTAACGGATTAGGAAAACGAGGCATAAAATAAAGATTAACCTCATCCACAATCGGGGGCAAAGGCAGGTCTCTCGACTCCTCTGGAGGACTTCTGCCGTTTACCTCCCAAATCCTGTCTTATGACGCTTACATCTTATCAGGCCTTTAATTTGGAATCAAAAGATCTGATTGAGTATAGAGTCAGCAACCGCTCACGAGTTCTTAAACTAGCTGCTTACATTCTGGGACCCGTCGATGGTTGTTTGCCAAGCCTTCCTTTCCTGGGTGAGGTACCGGTTCAAGGCTTAACTTCCTTAGGGGGTTATTTAACAGCTTCCAGCCTCTCTTTTACCTAAGGCATACGGTTGTTTTGAGTGTTTAAAGAGATGGTATAGGAAAAGT